CCTGTAATCTCAGCACTTTTGGAGGCTGAGGTGGGTGCATCACGAGGTCAAGAGATCAAGACTGTCCTGGCCAACATGGTGAAACCCTGTCTCTACTGAAAATACAAAAAAAAATAGCTGGTGTGGTGATGGACGCCTGTAGTCCCAGCTACTCGGGAGGCTGAGACAGGAGAATCGCTTGAATGCAGGAGGCAGAAGTTGCAGTGAGCCCAGATCACACCACTGTACTCCAGCCTGGCGACAGAGCAAGACTCCACGTCAAAAAAAAAAAAATTGCATCTATGGAGAGTTACATCATAAAATAGACATGTCTGAAAAATTAGGCTAATGTTGAGTCATGATTATTTGCTATAGCTCAGAGTGGGGAAGGAGCTGCAGGAATCTCTTATTTGTCAGAGTTGAAATTACATAAACCCAAAAGCCAGCATTATAATCTAGCTGACAGTTCTTCACTCATATAAAACTATGTAATATGCCTAGACACAGGACTTCAGCCAAGCAATGAATCATTGACCAAAAGCAAAACAAAACAAAATCTCAGAAATCACTTGCTCTAGAAATTGTTTGAGATTCACTGCTCCTACATTTAAATGTTTGTTTAATATGGAATAAAATGCATTTTCTTTTTTTTTTTGGCTTTTTGAGACAGGGTGTCACTCTGTCACCCAGTTTGGAGTACAGTAGTGAGATCACAGCTCACTGCAGCCTCAACTCCCCCAGGTCAAGCAATCCCCTCACCTCAACCTCTTAAGTAGTTGTGACTATAGGTGCACACCACCAAGCCCAGCTAACTTTCTTTGGCCATATTGCCTAGGCTGGTCTTGAACTCCTGGGCTCAAGCAATCCACCTACTTCAGCCTCCCAAAGTGCTGGGATTACAGGTGTAAACCACTGCACTCAGCCTGCAATATATTCATGTATTGAGAGGTTCTTTGAATGGGAGTAACATTCATGGATTTCATTTTACTTAGCAAAATCAATGATTAACCAATAAAATAGAACATTATACTTGGCAAAATCAATGAATAACTAATAAAATTTTTACATACTAACACTATTGTTTTACAACTTTCTTACTGGTGGGCCAAAATAGCAATATGGTAAATGGCTTGCCAGATTATATTGTGGGTATCTAAATTGATACGGCACTATTTCATATATAATGAAGTCATTCAAATGTGGTATCACAGTTCATTGAATTTTAAAATCTCCATTCAAACCATTATAGTTTTCAACATTTAATATTGCTTAGTGAAGACCTCATCCATGATGAAGACTGTTTTCCTTCTCGAGGAGCAAGATAAAAAGAGCCAATTCCTTAAAGCACAAAGTGGGTCTTATGTCTACTTCGTTTGCTTTGTGGATTAGAAAACTGGCCATAGGGAATTACGGTACCATCCCTGTAGTCCTGGAGCCAAACACTTTTTGGTATGAATCCCAGCTCTACCTCTTAATAACTTCATGAACTTATAAAAGTTATGTGGCCATTTTATATTATGGTTAATACAGTGCTGATATACTTCATTAAAAGAAAAATTTTAGAAAGAATGTTTGCTTATTTCTAAACTGATCAACTCAAAATAAGGTAAAAAGGCATATTCTCCAGTATTGGCCATTTTCCTTCAATCCAGAGAAAAAACGTATTTTTCAGCTGTTTCACTAGGTCTCTAATTCTGGATGAACCTTTGAGAAATACTTCTCAGTTTCAGGAAGACTAGAAGCAGCCTTGGATAATGAACTTAGGCAGACTTGAGTTAAAATTCCACTTTTGGGACAGGCATGGTGACTCACACCTGTAATCCCAGCACTTTAGGAGTCCGAGGTGGGTGGATCACCTGAGGTCAGGAGTTCAAGACCAGCCTCTCCAACATGGTGAAACCCTGACTCTACTAAAAATACAAAAAATTAGCCAGGTGTGGTGGTGGATGCTTATAATTTCAGCTACTCAGGAGGCTGAGGCAGAAGAATTGTTTGAACCCGGAAGGCGGAGGTTGAGGTGAGCCAAGATCACACCACTGCACTCCAGCCTTGGCAACAAGAGCAAAACTTCGTCTCAAAAAATAAAAGAACCCTCCACTTTTGCCTGGCATTTATTGACTTTTTCCCTGGGTGATTAATATTACCAAGCATCAGTGTCCTCATCTGTAAATTAAGCATAATATTATGTGCTTCATAGTTTTTGTCAGAATTAAGTATTAATATAGTACATATAAAATAACCTCTGCTAGGACTCATGATACTCTACTATCAGTTTCCTTCTTCCATCCCAGGACATATCCTTCATATGTACTGAAATAGAAAAAAACAAAAATGAGAACCACAGCTTTGGGCATTGTATATTTATTAAAATTGAGAAAACTGCATGTATAGATGTTTTTCTCCACTTCCTTCTGTGATTAATTCAGTGCTTATGAGCACAATTAAAGTATGTTTATAAATTATGTTTCAATTATTTCATAGATGAATAACCTCTTAAATTGCTCTAGTACCTTCGAATAAAGTGCTGCTCTAATGCAGAAGTTAGTTGGAAAGCCCGACATGAATATCCTGATGTTGTTCAGTGACTTATGCCTGACAAATTGAATAATTACCTGGTTCTGAGCCATTCCTAAATAGAGCTTGCATGGTTGAAGGACCCTATGACTGGAGTCAAGCCTTGCCTCTCCCTGTCTATCTGGTCCCAGGCAAATGGCTTAACCTTTCTGGGCCTCAGTTTTCTTATCTATAAAATGATGGAAATAAAGGACATAATTTCTATGGCCCTTTGTAGTGCTAACATATATAATTTTAAATCAATGAGAAATTAGTTAACGCTAAAGTTATATTCTGTTGATTGATTATTTAAATTAAAAGAATTGATAATTAGGAAAATATGAACAAAATATGTGAATAAAACACCAGGATAAGGAAGGATCTTTACACATATTAGTTAGAACATTTTACTTTTAGTGGCCATGAAGTGCTTGCAGAGGTCAAGTCTGCTATAGAATTCCTTGTGCACCTTGCTTTTGAACGTAGCAGCTTCGTAATGTTTGGCTCTCTCTTTTTCCCTTGAAAGGATGGATAATAAATGTTTTAATCTTGAATATCCTGTGAAATCCATGGAATATCATTGTTAGCAGCTATTTATTTCACTTGTTTCAACCCTTCTGACAAAAAGTTCACAGCTATTTGTGAAACAGGGATTTAGGCAAAGTGAGAAAACCACAACAATGGTTCAGACATTTCATACTTAAGAGTCTTTTGTTTATATTATAAAGGACAAAATGAACTTCTTAAAGATGAGGTGCTTTGACCTAAGAATTTGATGTCCTAATAACGTTTGAGATATTTGAAAATATTCTGTGTTTCATTGTTTCATTGGTGATCAAAAAATACCTGCAAGTGGAAATTATAATTACAATTTTCAAGAGTATTCAAGATGTTTATCTTCCACATAAAAGTGCTAATGAGCTCATTGATCATACAACAAAAAATTACAACATCCAAAATACTTTTCTCATGAAAATTTCAAAATTAGCATGACTAGACTGTTATTTTTCAAAAGGCTATTTCAAATTAGTCTACTTATTTCTGAAACTTGTCCTTTCTTTACACTTTTAAACTAACCCTTGTTTATTTATAATATTGTGGGTTATAAAAGGATCTGAAAGGTAAATCTCCCAAAGATAGATATTTCAGTGAAAGAAGCGTGTAAGCAGAAGTTAGAATAACCTTTACTAGCAGTTTTTATCAACGTCCACGTTAATGGAGCCATCCTTTGAGTTTTTGTTTTATTTAATTGTTAATTTTAGTTTAGATTCAGAGGGTCCATGTACAGATTTGTTGCATGGGTATATTGCATAATGCTGAGGTCTGGTCTTCTATTGATCTCATTACCCAGAGAGTGAACACAGTACCCAGTAGAAAGTTTTTCAGCCCTTGCGCTCTTCCTTCTGTCCCTCCCTCCTTCCTTTTGTTTGGTGTCCCCAGTGTCTGTTTCTATCTTTATGACCTTGGGTATTCAGGTTTTAGCTCCCATTTGTAAATGAGAATATGCAGTATTTGGCTTTCTGTTTCTGTGTTAATTCACTTAGGACAATGGCCTCCAGCTTCATTTGTGCTGCTGCAAAGGACATGATTGTTTTTATGGCTGCATGGTGTTCCATGGGTACCACATTTTCTTTATCCAGTCCACCTTTGATGGGCACCTAAGTTGTTTCTGTCTTTACTTTTTGAACAGTGCTGTGAGGAGCACACAAGTGCAGGTGTCTTTTTGGTAGAACAATTTATTTTCCTTTGAGTATATATCCATTAATGGGATTACTGGGTCAAATGGTAGGTCTATTTTAAGTTCTTTGAGAAATCTCCAAGCTACTTTTTATAGTGGCTGAACTAATTTACATTTCCACCAACAGTGTGTGCTAAGCATTCCCTTTTCTCTGCAGCCTTGCCAGCATCTGTTATTTTTTGACTTCTTAATAATTGCCATTCTGACTGGTGTGAGATGATATCTCATTATGGTTTTGATTTTCATTTCTCTTATAATTAGCAATGTTGAGCATTTTTTCATGTTTGTTAGCTGCTTATACATCTTCTTTTGAGAAGTATCTGTTCATTTTCTTTACCCAGTTTTTAATGGTATTATTTTTGTTTTTCTTGTTGATTTGCTTAAGTTCCTTATAGAGTCTGGATGTTAGTCCCTTTTAGAAAGCATAGTTGGCAAATATTTTCTCCCATTTTATAGGTTGTCTTTTTACTCTTTTGATAGTTTGGGGTTTTTTGTTTGTTTTTTATTTGTTTGCTATGGTGAAGCTCTAATTCAATTAGATTCAACGTGTCCATTTTTATTTTTGTTTCACTTCTTTTTGAGGACTTAGTCATAAATTCTTTTCCTAGGCACATGTCTAGAAGAGTATTTCCTAGGTTTTGTTCCAGGATTTCTTAGATTGAGGTCTTAAATTTATGTCGTTAATCCATCTTCAGTTAATTTTTCTATACGATAAGAGATAGGAGTCCAGTTTCATTCTTCTGCATATGGTTAACCAGTTTTCCCAGAACCATTCATTGAACAGAGAGTCCTTTTTCCATTGCTTATTTTTCTCAACTTTGTAAAAGATCATTTGTCAATAAGTGTGCCCCTTTATTTCTGGGTTCTCTATTCTGTTCCGTTGGTATGTGTGCCTATTTTTGTACCAGTACCAGGCATTTTCAGTCTTCTTGGAAGATCACCCTCTCCAGAAGAAACTAAGAGTCTGTAGCCCATCCCAGACTAATGCCCAAGTATTGATATTTGGCTTATGTAAAAGTAACTGTCTTTGATACTGTAGTGTCAACATTTGACGCTTTTGAGTGTTTGTTGTTCTGACAACTACTACCACATATTTAGCTCTTATGTGCCAAGAACTATGCAAAAGGCAGTGGACAAGAATATGGGTTTTGGACACAGCTTCCTGAGTTTGTATTTTGATTCTGCCCCTTACTAAATCTGTGTTCATGGGCAGGGTAGTTAACCTCTTGGTACTTCCATTTCTTCTTCTGTTAAATGGAGGTCACAATATAGGATAATAACACAATTGGAGTTATTATGAAGATTAAAGGAGATAATACATGTATAAAACTCATAACTTTTACACACAGTAAGCACTCAATGACTGCTTATTGGTGTCATTATTGTCATCATCATCATCATTTAATCTTTACAGGAAAGCATTGGGATAATACGCATTTTAGAGACAAAGAAACTGAGGCTAAGGAATCATAAATAACTTTCCCAAGGTCACAGTACTAGCAAATGATGGCTGAGATTTGACCTTAGGTGCTCATGATTAAGCCCATGCTCCTAAACTAGACTGTAGCCTTAGTGGAAGAGGGCTGCTGATAGCATTTTAGAATGTCATATATGGAATCTAGCCTTCTCCTTTTGTGGATAGAAAAACTGAACTGACTAAGCACCCTAAGTAACAAATCCCTAAAGGAGTATCTTTCCCATTGTCCTTTCTACTGCCCCCAAGTGTGGCTTCTTTTCTTTTTCTTTTTTTCTTTTCTTTTTTTTTTAGATGGAGTATCACACTGTTCCTAGGCTGTAGTGCAGTGGTGCAGCCTCGGCTCACTGCAGCCTCTGCCTCCTGGGTTCAATTCTTCTGCCTCAGCCTCCTGAGTAGCTGGGACTACAAGCATGTGCCACCACACCCAGCTAATTTTTTTTGTAATTTTAGTAGAAACAGGGTTTAACCATGTTGGCCAGGATGGTCTTGATCTCCTGACCTCATGATCTGCCCGCTTTGGCCTCCCAAAGGGCTTGGGATTACAGACGTGAGCCACCATGCCCAGCTGCGTGGATTCTTTTCTTAAGAATGCTTTAGAATAGGTTTAATCATTTGCATTCTGATTCTCATCTTCTGCCCAAATATAAAATCCTAGATTGTTAAGATTAAATGAAAGCTTTTGTGTGTAAAGATTTCATTTTAAAATAATATTACTTTACCATCATTTTATGCCTCCTTATTCTAATCAAAACAAGAGTGAACCATTGTTCTGTCCTTGCTGCCTTAAGTTTGGATTTTTATATTTAAATACCTTTCTGTTCTTTTGATCGTAGGCTTTATTTTGGATGCAGGGTTATACTGATGAAGAGACTAGCAGCCACCTTTCCCTACCTTGTATGGTGGGTGTGAATAAATGTTTAAAGCAAAAAACAGGATTTTATTTCAGTTTCTTGTTTATTTTTAGAATTCAGATAATGGGTTTGAGTTAGCTGGTAGTTTGATGTAATAGGTTACTTTATTAGTAAATGATAGACTATTGACAGAAAAAAATTAATCGCTTTTGTTTAAATGTGCCAATCTTAAAATGATTCCCTAAAATGATTCCCCAGTGGAATTTGTTATATTGCAAGCACTCAGAAGTAAATAGACAAAGAATTAATAGTCTTTAAATCTCACTTTGCATGGTAGAAAATGAGAATGTTTAAGCTAATTAGTTATACAACAAGTATATACTAAGTATTTTTCTTCTATTTTTACAACATATATGGGAAATGTGATGTGTATAAATTTCCTTCTCCTCAGCTATCACATTTACTCCAAATTTTAAATTATACATGATTTGGTTTTTGCAGACATACTGAAAAATTTTAAAGCACGATTGATAGAAATATTCTTTATTTTATGACATATGTGCATTATAGAAAAATTGTACTGTACTATATACGTGCATTGTTAAATATACACATAGTTATTTTTAGTAAGGAAAGCTAAAAGGAATATAATTTCATAGCACATTTGGTACTTCATATAAAACAATAGCCATAGAGTTTTAGGTTTAATCATAAGAATTTTAAGAATAATCTAGTCCCATCTTCCTCTCCCTGTTCTTTTCCAGACTTCAGAAAGTAAAATAATGTTTCCACCATCATTGTGGTGAGTGGGCTGGAATTGGGCGTACTGAGACCCTATCTCAGTCCACCCCATTACTATGCCACCTCACGGAGATAACTCAGCTTTTACCTTGATTCACATGTTGAAGAGAACAGAGGAATCTTAGAACAAGAAGAGTAGGTCATGACTTTGCTTTATAAAATTCTGAGTTAGGAAAAAAAAATCATCAAGTATGGTAGTTATCTTATTCCATTGTCTGTTGCTTAGAATATCTCAAACTAGGTAATTTATAAAGAAAAGAAATTTATTTCTTACAGTTATATAGGCTGAGAAGTCCAAAGTCAAGCAGCCATGTCAGGTAATAGCTTTCCTTCTGGTGGGCACTCTGCAGAGTCCCAAGGCAGCACAGGGAATCAAATTACTAGGGGGCTGAGCCTCCTAATATGCTAGCCCAGGCCTTTCTTCCTTTTTTAAATGCATTTTGATTATCATCTTCTTCCCAAATATAAAATCCTATGGTTCTCCCCCCATGATAACCCATGTTCTTTGCCATGATTACCCATGAATTCATTAACATATTAACTAATGAATTCTTGAATGAGTTAATCCATTCATGTGGGGAGAACCTCTTGACCCAGTCACCTCTTGAAGGCCACACCTCTCAATAGTGTCGCATTAGGGATTAAATTTCAACATGAGTTTTGGAGGGGACAAATATTCAAATCGTAGCAGTAGAGAAAGAATTGGTCTACTCAGCAAAACAGAAAAGCATCACTAGATAAGTATCCATGATATATTATTGAAACCTGGTAATTATTTGGGGATTTAAATAACAAACAAAAATATTTATATCAATCAGAACAACAAATAAAATGGTTTATTTCAGACCTTGGCAAAAGAAAAACAATCATCCTGAATGTCCTTTCTGATGGCCAAGTATTCTCAAAGCTTAAGTTTATATTAAATACAGCATGATAACTATAGTTAATAACAATATATTATATACTTGGAAATTGATAAGAGATTTTAAGTGCTCCCAACACACACAAAAAATGTTAAACGTATAAGTAAATGCATGTGCTAATTAGCTAGAATTAGCCATCCTGCAATGTATTCATATTTCTTTTGTATGTGTGTGAGACAGAGCCTCACTCTGTTGCCCAGGCTAGAGTGCAGTGGTGTGATCTTGGCTTACTGCAACCTCCACCTCCCAGATTCAAACAATTCTCCTACCTCAGCCTCCCAAGTAGGTGGGATAACATGTGCCCGCCACCACGCCTGGGTAATTTTGTTGTATTTTTAGTAGAGATGGAATTTTGCCATGTTGGCCAGGCTGGTCTCAAACTTTTGACCTCAGGTGATCCACCTGCCTCAGCTTCCCAAAGTTCTGGGATTACAGGCATGAGCCACCATGCCCAGCCTGTACTCATATTTCAAAACTTCACGTTGTAGATCATAAATGTATAAAGGTTTTGTCAATTAAAAATTAATAATTAATTTTTTTTTTTTTTTTACTAAGCCTTGCTGTGTTGTCCAGGCTAGGGTACAGTGTCCATCTACAGGCACAAGTGTAGTACTCTGCAGTCTTCAACTCCTGGGCTCCTGGGCTCAAGTAGTCCCCCTGCTTTGACCTCTCAAGTAGCTGGGACTAACACGTACCACCACACCCCACTCTGTATTTTTGTGAGAATAATTTATCTTGTGTTAATGATGTGTTCTTCTGAAAAATATAAAGTTATATTCTTTACTTTTTTCAAAAGTAAAAAGGATATTGATTTTTTTTTAAATTTCACCCTGTATTCCTGGCTTTATATTAATAGTGAATCACAAAAGAAAGTGTCATTTTATATGTAAATACATCATCTGTCACATATCTCTTGACAAGTGTATTGAGAAAGCCATTATTTCGCTCTATATTCAGAGCCCATTTTAGCAAGAAATGTAGTTTCAGAAATCCTGTAGAGAAATCTTTCAGCCCTGAGTCTCACATATTAAAAGTTAAAGAAAGCCTTGAATTCTATTTAAAACCTTCTACCATTAATTAGTCATGTGATTTGTAGTATTTATAGCTCTTCTGTGCTACAGTCATCCATGAGTAGATTTTCCAGATGGTGGAAGGAGACATTTTGACTTACTCCCTGTGTGAGCTGTCATGCCATGTTCTACTCTGTAATCAGAAATCACTGATTTATTTTTGTTTTTGAACTCAGAGTTCCAGATTGTAGATAGAAATATTTAGCCATTCCTCTTACAATTTTTTTCTTCATCTATGGAGCAACATTTGTCAAATTCTAAATTGTTAGTTTCATTTTTCATGACCAAGTGTTTCAGTATTTCCACTGAAAACTTTGCAGTGGGTCCTTAAAGTGAGAACCATGAAGAAAAAGCACTTGTGTCCTTCCAGGAGTTAAAGCACTTCTTTACTATTTTGCCTGTGTCCTAGGCACAGCATACCACTGTATTAAATACACAGAATACCACAGTGATAGGGGTGATATAGGGATAATGGACTTCTTTATGTTTGTTTACTGCTTTAATTTTTTTTTCTACATTGTTTCATCCATATTTAATCCTTACAGTGATCACATATGGTAGCTGAGTAATGTCCCTTTTAATCATTTTACAGATAAAAAAAGCAAAAGAGATTTAGGTTTTTTTTCTGAAAAGTATATATCATTCAATAGTTGGTGTGGAACAACTAACTGGATAGCCATCTGAAAAAAGTGCTGTACGGCTCACATTGTATATCAAAATAAATTTCAGGTTAATCTGAGACTTAAAAGTAAAACTAATGCCCAAAAGTACTAGAACAAAACAGGGTGTGGGTGGGGGAAACAGAGTTACATGTGTACTGGAAATGCCTTTGTAAATTATAAGCAAAACATGGAAACCATAAAGCAGAACATAAGTAAATCACAGATTAAAGGATAATTTTCTTAATTTTGAAAGCCTGCTACAAACTGACAAGTAAAAGACCAAGAATATTATTCACTAGAAAACAAAAATTAAAACCACAGTGAGATACCATTTTCACTTATCAGACTGGCAAAAAATTCAAACATTTGATAATTGAGGTATTGGTGCAACCTCTCTGGTAGTGATTCTCAGTGTGTGATCCAAAATATGGGCCTCTGCAGGGGCAGCTCCCTGCAACTCTTTCAAGGATTACACAAGGTGTAAATTATTTTTACACTAATAAGATACTATTTGCCTTTTTGCATGTTGACATTTACAGTGACAAAGCAATGGTGGATAAAGCTGCTTCCAGTGTAGCACAAATTTAAGTAGTAGCTCCAAACTTCGCTAGTATTCATTGTGGTCTTTATCACCATACATTCACAATTTTAAAATGAAGGAGGAGGAGGAAGGACACAAGGAACTTGGTCAGTTTCACTTAGTAATTGTTTTGATGAATCTGCAAAAAAAAATAATTTTAATAAGTCTCAACCATTGAGTATACATCTTTATAATAGTCTATGTTGGAAAATAACTATGCATAAAACACATCTGCATACTGAGTATGATGGTTGTGTTGACGAAAAGCAGTGGTGTGATTAAGTTGCAAGCTAAACTAGCTACTTCTTAAAGTACCATTTCTTACTTGAAGGAACAACTGACAGACAAACTACTGTTATTCCAGCTTGGGTGGTTGATGGACGTTTTCTCTAAAATGAACGAAGTAAGCTTGTCACATCAAGAAAACAACTGACA